AATTGGTCCCATATTGTTACGGTGGCAGCGTTATGTAGAATGGCAGGACTACATACGGCCGATCTCAAATTTCGTGTCTCAGAGAAGAATATGTCTTGCGTGAATGTATAAAGCGCGAGTCGGTTTTCATCGGCAATTCAGTAGGTTCGTAAAGTTTGGGTATCAAATAATACAATTTGGAGTCGCGAAAGTTGAAGTTCATTTGATTGCGTTGTTAGTGATCTTTGAAAAGCAATTCTGAAATGGCTATTTTGTTCTATAATGAATGGAGCGAATATAATTTTTCACAACTGGCACTAACTGTTTATCATTAGCTTCAAGTAGTGTGGCCTCTGCCTATTAACATTAACACAAACCTCACAAAACTGTTATTTGATAGACCAGTATTATATACCAATAAATGTACACAACTTCTGTTACGAAACGTCCTTGTATAAACCGTCCGCAAAACATAAAATTCTCTATACATTATTCTTTCCCCTGAGTGTTACCGAGATGGTGGTTATACTGGTTCGATGTGAGGGGTGCAAGTCAGCGTGAAGGTTTACAATTCATTTGAGACTGTTTTGACTCACTAAATTGTAAGACAACAGAAGAGGCGAGAGGTTAAAATACCGTAGTTTGACACCACATACTTGCGGTTGAATATATCATAACTATTTTTTGGTTTAGGCAATTCTCATGTAGTTAAGAGCTTAGTATAGTATTTACTTTCCTTTCGAAACTGGTAAGGGTGTTATGCCAATAGCGATAAATATAGCGGATTTTATTGTAAACATTTTGATGGCTTATTTATCTGCACCGAAACATATTAATCACCGGCAGTAGATTTGCTAAACGATTTCAGTAGTAGTAGACACAGCAACACAGCCTCTTTAAAAGTAACATTGCGATATCTGCTATACTAATTATAAATACCGAACGTTGTAAATATCGATATTAACAAGGTAAAGCCAATCTAATCTTTTTCTGATGCAAAGAGAAAATTCTCAAATCTACACCTATGCAGGCACTTTCAAACTTTTCAGTTTTTTCTCCTATATCTAAATAGTTATTACTAATATTACATGCAGTGAATGGCTCAACATGTGCACTTGCCCAATCACTACTTTTAGAAATATTCCATAAGAATAAAGAGTATTGAGTGAAAACCTTATTCAGTTCATTGATTTTTGTTAATAGATTCCATGTTCCTAAAAACTTCCCAGGCTTTCCTGAAAGACCATATATCATTGTCAATAACATGTCAATGTCAAGACCACTCATAGACAATCCTGCAACAGTTTTTGGCCCCTGTCTTAAAACGACTAATGCTGGAGCAGAATGTAAATATGATTGAAAAAACTCATGGAACGATGGTAAAGAAGAATTTATCATCTTGTGGTATGAGAGAACGAAATTGTATGAGGTTTTAACCCTCGGCCAATTCTTGGTGGGTCGCGTGAATGAACTGTTGGTATTTTCTGTCTTCTGAGCGACTAATATCTTTTGTATCGTATCAGTAAACGGAATTGGTAGAGAATCAAGTTGAGCATGTATTTCAGTGCTTTCAGTCAAACCCCCTTCTGGATTTGCAGGCAGTTCGCTTTTGGAAATATCACAACCTTTATACCAGTTTAGCTGTTCAAAATCACCATGAAATATTTGATCAAATGAAAGGTGATTGAAATGAGCATATCTTTCCGGTCTTTGACCAAACTTCACTTCTTGCAATGCCCCTGATATGGTGTCTGCCAGCAGATCAAAATGTTTTGATTTCCATTGGTAGAAGGGCTCTTTTACCAGGCGTGCATTCCTTTCAATGCCCCATTTGATTAAAACGTCTAAAAATACTTCTCCATTACCATATTGACACGCCTTTTTTGCAAGTATCTTCATTATATCCTCATGTAGGTCAGATAGATTAGGATGATTGTAAAAATTCCAAGGATCTTGTTCGAACATTGCTGCAAAATCATCTTGGCATGATTTCAGAGTAGAATAATTGTAAATAGTGTTGACTGCAGTGATAAAAAAGTGCGGAAGTTTCAATGATTCTTTTATAGAATTTAGCCATGCTGAAAAGATCGAGCCAAGCAACGTATCAATCAACAACTCATCAGAGTAGAAAAACAAATCCCTTGCATGAGCTTCCAAAACATTGATTGGTATGTTTTCGAAATATATGAATCTGCAATGTGATTGAATGTCAGTACAAAATTTTCTCTAAAGAAATTCCTAGTGACAATGTCCCGATTGCTTACTTTAATATTTCCTCAAACAGTTCAGGTGACATGTTTGGTTTGTGTATAACGGCTACACCATTCTCTCTTCGTATCCACGTGTTAGATAATGCTGTATTGAAAAATTCCGAACGTTGTCTCAACTTAACCGAGTGTGTAAGGAACGACACGGCATTCTCATTCACACCAACTATAATTTTTGCATCAAAATGATAAAGCTGTATGTGTTTGAACGCATCTTCATCGCTTGTAAGACGCACATAGAATGTTGGTGCATCCATTATTTATTATTGCTGACATCGAGTTGAGGGAAAGTTTCTGTGTGACCGAGCGTAGGTGCTTTATTTAGATGTGTGTCACTAAGCTTCTGGTTGGTTCGATTAGGATTAAGGCTACTGCAATTCTTTCTCAATAAACTTAATGCCTTGTCCTAAAAATTTTTAGTTTATGTCACGCTTGACTGTCCGAACAAAGCCAATTTATAGTGGAAATGAGGTTGCATTGATTCAGAATGATGCCGTCAGGTTCAAGCGCTAATACAATGAGAGATATTGAGTTAATATTAGTATTGAGTGAGATCGCCCTGATTACACCACAGGCAATAACTGAGAATAAGAAATATCTTTTACCTTTGATAGATAAAGACGATTTTCTGCAAGCGAGACCAAAATTCGTCGTTTCTACTATCGGGAGTTTCACCGGTGGCATATTAATATTACAATTTATTCCATTTTTCGGGAGTGTAAGGTGTGTACTAACCTGAAATAACTTGTCCAATTTACTATAGTAATGAAGATAAAAACTTTAAAATTTTAGACTTGCACATTATACTTGTAACAGAATTCAATTTGTATTATTATTACTATTATTTTTTTTATATTACTAGTTGCATAAATAAACTAAACGACTCTTAGTGTATTACCTGATAAATTCGCCTATGTGACAATTAATGGTTTCATGGATAGAGAGTGCTAAACATCCGGATTAACGACCATTGTACTTTTTTTTACGAAAATTACTAGCGGTGCAAATTGCATATGGAAAACGTCTCCGATAATTCATAAAATTAAATCAAAATACATTGCAATTTGTTCAGCCGACATGCAATTTAACAATTTACTTGTATTTTAAATATTTTTTTTGTCTGCTCTCTTAACTTGTATCCCCACGAATACGTCTCTTACGTAAATAATCTCCATCCATATGTTGCTTAAATTGCAATATGTAGCACTACTTATAATTTCGCGTAATAATATACACTGTAGTTGATTGAAAAAAAAAGAGCAAAATAAACATACAATAAGTCATTCAATTATATTAATATATGAAAGAGATATTTGCTAAATCAAGTTGTAGAATTTGACATAACAATTATGCTTTAATTACAATTATTTATATCACTAAATTTGAACCTATATCGTAAAAAAAGTATGTCATTATACAAGGAATAAACTGTTTGGTGTGGTTGATTTCTTTTTTTCAATACTCTTGTTAATATGCAAGGTTGTGTTAATTCTGAGTTTGTTTTCAGTCTCATAATTCAATTTCGTTTACAAAAAAGTTTTTACTGTGACACAAATTATAAGTATGTCAGAACGACCCCGACCTTTAGGTTGATCTTTAACTATATGTAGCGATTTTTTGGTCGATCTATAACTATAAATTGTTAGATAAGCGTCCAAATAGAGGTCGAAAAATCATCCAGAAGGGTAAAGAAGTATTTGAAAAGAAATTAGTGTTATGTACGTACATATGGGTTTCGATCTTGTTATTATATTAACAACAACAACAACAACAACAATAAACCGTTCTCGAACGAGTTATCTCTTTCTTCTTAAAAACTTTACGCTTGGGAACGAAAATGGCATTTTCGAGACTCTATCTCGTATGCGTCACCATATTTGATCTTTTTAACGAAATGTTGAAACTAACGAAATTCTTTCGACAAATCGTCTTAATCTTGATCTGCGATGAAATTCTGACAAAAAAAATCTGGCGAGTGTGAAATCGATTTCAACGTCATTTAACCCTCATGGATGGCTACCTACCACTACACCTTATATAATATAACATTTAAAAGCAGCAGATTAGCGATTTCTCGATTTGACAGAGAAAGAGTTGTACCCAAAAATTTCTGCCTATTTACACTCAACTTATTACTGCAAGTTGGTTTGCATATTTCCTTTTCGTCAATCACTTATCAATTACGGGCTTCCTTTTTCTCTACATCTTTTCTTTTTTCCCTATCTTCCTTCCCCTCGAAAATGAGTAAAGTAATTAAAAATCAGACAGTACAGTATAAATATATTATTATTTTCGTTGACTTAATCAAAAATAAACTTGTCTCAAATAAACGCTTGTACTTATTTTTACATTTAATGCGCCCAAACTCAAATCAAGATTTGTAGCATTTCACAATATTATTTGTATAATTATTGTTCATATTAATATGGATTGAAATTACGCTATGTTATTGTTACTTATCATATCTAACAATACAATTATTTATAATTTGCGTTAAAAAATATGGACTTGTAACTTTTATAATATTATTTTATTTATTGTTCAATCTCATCAATATTATTAAGGCTACCATAATCATATTCGACATTTTCCTATGAAGAAATTTTTTATGTCGTTCAGCCATACCTATGACTGCAGTTTGCAAATATGCTGCCTCAAACTAAATATGAATTTCGCGATATTATTTGTATCTATAGTCCGATCTACTAATAAGACTAATTAAATTTTCTGACCCAATTTAATTATGGTTATTTTCTAGCCCGTAACCCAACCAAAAATCGGGCTAGCCCAGACCATATTTTATATATATATATACCCTCTTCTTTGCCCATCTCCCAAATACTCATCAACACATCAACTTTTTCACCCATACATAATCGAAAATAATGCTCGTGTATATAGATTCCACTGCAATTCACGTATTCACTGCCGATGAACACCTCAAATTCAAGGGCAAATTGCTTAAAGCTAAGGGCATATTCCTTAACTTTGCTGATCAACTTATTCGTGTCCATTTAAAAAAGTATACATTCCAAATGAAAATCCCACATGGTTTACCACAACGCCTTTTTCTCCCGATGATATCATAGAAGTGGCAGGAACCATCATTAACTTAAACGACAATACCATTACCGTATGTACTCTTCACTTAGTTTCAGTTTACCAAGTCTTTATTACCACTAATCATATTTTCTAACGTTTTACCCACAGATAAATGCATATAATAATAAATGTCACGTCTCTTCAAATCTTCGACAAGCGTTCCACGAGCACGGACTTGGTTGAAGGCTGTCGGCACTATAAAAACGACTACTTAAATACGGAATAATATGCTATTTTCATTGTCAATCAACACAATACGTTTCGGGAAGTCGCTCTTCTGTAAAATCGGCAAAATTCGAAATCGGACTAAAAAAGCCAGACTAGGCTCCAAGATTTCATTCGTGGGAGAATTAGATGTACACGAGAACGTGCTACACGTTTGAATTACACAATTTCGATTCCGTAACAACTAGCGACAATCCACCTAATATTCAATTTCTTCCACTGCGGCTTCTGAACAAAGAAATCGCCTATATCAATCACTATCCGAAACCATGCAACCTACGAAACGTCATAAAGTTGCACTCACCCCTGAAAACAGTAACCATCGGAAGCTGACTCGCATTCGGAAAATGTGCTACAACTGTAAACGAACATTCCCAAGACCAAACTTTTCGAAAACAAAGCCAACCACGAAAAAGAGAATCACGCTTTCAAGCACAAAGAAAAGATTTCTGACTTGGCAACAACAATCTTAAATCTTCCATCATACGAAGATTAAAAATAACATGAAGTCTAGAAAATGTTGATTAGTTTCCTTTTTACATGTTCTCACGTCTCAACACTTTATGGCCCAATAACTAATATATCATATAAATGTCACACAATCACTATTCATAACTAATATGTCCCCATATCAATACTGGTAATAAGAGGGGTGAATCCTAGTTGAATATATCAATATCACAATTATCGAGCAACAGCACAATCTTTATCAGACTCCAAAAAAGCAATTAAGAAAACATTTGACATTTTAATTTGGACAAGGAGAAATTTTATTACTTCATGAGATAATAAATACAGAGATATCACAAATTTCTTTTAGCTCACTCTGCACCCTTTCCCCTACAAATACAAACTTATCGTACGGTATACTAATTGAGACGCGGAATGCATTCTAACGATAAGAGGCCCGATCGATTTGCGTGCAATGTAACACAACTAAGGGTTGACACTTTAACTTGAGAGATAAGATTTTTAATTCAACTATTACCATGTCGTCATTTGCTAATAATCCAGCCATTGCCAACTTGGTTGAATCCTCCTTGGAAAGCGTAAGTGAACTGAAATGGATACCTTTTGAGGAAATCATCAACGTAAAGCCCACTCAAATTGACAACGTCTACTTCGCTATTCGCAAGCACTCACGTTATATATATATTGATTATGCAATAACGCTGGTATTACTTGGGAGTAGCGAAGAATGCACAGCGACACTTGTGAGTGAGTTTGCCAGAATATACTCACTTCCAACACACAAGTACAATAACAGTGACAATAACTTTAAACGATATACGAAATGGCTTTTTATCGCAACGGACTCTTTGGATTTACCAAGTCTAATGACGATAACTATTACATGGTTGCTGATAAAGTCTTTTACCATTGTTATTCTCGATATGGCTTCTGC